CTCTCCTTTTTGTACAAAGGAAAGGGATTTGTGGAATGACTCAGGGAGCTATTCTTGAGGTGCTAAGCGCTGTGAGAGAAGCCGAGTCCAAATTCCTGGTAGGGTAGTAATATGAAAAAGTGCAAATGTATTGACTGAACCAATGGATTGCATGGTGAGTATATGAGAAAGAGGAAGTTAGATAATGACCTGTAACAACCCTGCTACCCGATCCCGATATGTGTTACAGTTTGGATTCTTCTATAACCGCTAAACCAGGGAGCCAGTAAGCGCTGAGTGCTTTCTTCTCTTAAGCTTGTTCCCCATCACATATCTGCTTTGTTGTGAAGAGATTCTGCTTATTAGATTTCTTTGTCATTTTGACCACTCTTCTTGGGCAGACAAGACTGAACAGGTGAACGAAGCATGTCACAGAGCCAGCTATTGCGAGTTGAATGTAAACTGTCCTTCCCAAAGGCTCCTGTGTTGAAGGCTTTGTACCCAGGTGGTAGCACTACTTCAAGGTGACCATGGCTTGAGGACCTAACTTCATGACTCTGCTATTCGGAAGTAGGTGGCTGGGGCATGTCTTTGATAAGTGATTTATGTCTAATTTGGCAGACAACCCCCGCCCCCTACACACACACACCCAGCCTCTCTTGGCCAGCAAGGTGGGCACACCCTCCCGTCACCAATCGCCATGCCTTTCTATCATGATGTTCTGACTTGCCGCAGACCTGGCATCAAATGGCCATGTAAGGTCCCTGAAACTGTAAGGCAAAATGAACCTTTCCTCTTTGTAGTTGTCTTTTTTCAGGTATTTTGTTACAGTGCTAAAAAGTTTGAGTAACACAGAGTCCTTATTTTATAAGGAAAAGTAGATCTCTACAGTTAAATGAAAACTTTTTTTTCCCCAGTAGTGCTGGCCATTCTTGTGAGCCTTGTGAATGCGAGCTAGACAAGCACTCTGCTTCCCACTGCTACACCCCAGCAGCAGTCATTTTCTCCCCTGCCCTTAGCCATGCAGGATTCACTTCCTCCATCTTCGGTTTTAAGTTTCCTCAATCCTGAAGCTTTTTGCTCTCTCTCAGACACTCCACACTTTCCCCTCCAGCTCTAACCGGAATCAGTTGCTCTGATGTGTCCTTCCATTGTTACCCTCTCTAGCTTTTGTTGCCTTCCAAAGCGTCCTCTGTGAAGCAGCAAATGTGTTTAGTCTTGGATCCCATCACTCACCACCAAAAGCCTGGCCAATTTGGCTTGGGTTTAACATTTCCCCCTATGTCCTTGCTCAAGACGGACTGAAACCATTTCTCTGATTCCTATGTAAGATGATGCACTCACTGCTCATCCAGTATTTACTCTAACCTCTGATGGAGCAGGCTGAGGACAGGGTTGAGGTGGTGAATACAATGGTCCCTACCCACTTCACATTGATTTTCTCAGGGGAAGGACAAATAATAATAAAAAAAAGGCTTGTAAGTAAATGCTAAATTCTAAACTGTAGAAAGGGCTCCAAGGGAGTTGGGCTCACATACAGATAGATGCATACTGGAGCTGGGGGATGGTCTCATTCCTGACTGCTATGCAAGGAAGCTGTGCTGTATAGAGCAGACATTGGGGCTGAGTCCTAAGAGAGAGGAAAGTATATTCCAAGAAGAAGGTTGGCAAGAAAGGCTTAGCTAGTGAGGGTGCAGTGCCATGAGGCCAATAAAGTATGACAATGTGGTAGGGATGCCAGCTGGATCAAGCAGGATTTACTGTAGTCAGGAATTTGGATCATACTTAAAGAACATTGGGGGAAGGCTTGCTAGGTAAACCACAAACACTTAATTATATTTTACGGTCAAGTAATCAATGAATAAATTTTTAGAGTATGTCCAAAATATCACACAAGGCACAGTTAGAGTAAATATATTTACTATGTATTTATACTGAACATCTATTCAGTGTTTGAAGTTCAAATTTGACTGGGCTCTTGGGTTTTTGTTTTGTTTTTGTTAAGTCTGGCAACTGCTAGTTAAGAGGCCACTGAAAGGTTTCAATTGGTAAGTCGAGTAACCCAATTTGTATTTTAAGAAGATCCCTTGGGCAGCTTTGTGGAGAATGGTTTGAAGGTTATCAAGAGTTAACTGAAGGCTCAAGTTCAGGGCAGCAAGTTGGGCTCAGAGGAAAGTTCAGTATGGGTGGGCGTCAGGTTGGGGGTGCCCCAGTTAGGGTTTTATTGCTATGAAAAGATACCATGACCATGACAACTCTTATAAAGGAAAACATTTAATTTGGGCTGGCTTACATTTTAAAGGTTTCATTCATTATCATCTCGGAGGGAAACAGCATACAGGCAGACATAGTGCTGGGGAAGGAGCTGAGTGTTCTACATCTTGATCTACAGGCAGCAGAAGGAAACTGTGCCACAGGTAATGGAGCTTGAGTATATGAGACCTCAAAGCCCACCTCCATAGTGACACACTTCCTCCAACAAGGCCACACCTACTCCAACAAGGCCACACCTCCTAATAGTGCCACTTTCAATGGGCCAAGCATTCAAACACATGGGTCTATGGGGGCCATGTCTATTCAAACCACCACAAGGGGTGTCCAGGGCCTTGTAAACCTTGAAGTTAGAAGAGACCCTCTAGGAGATGGCAAAGGTGGATTCTAACTCGAGAGCTTTGGTATGGGTCCTAAGACTCTGCATTTCTAATAAGCCCCTAGGAATCATGTCAATGAACTATAGCCCCAGGGACACATTAGGCCTCATCCTCGTTTTTATAAATACATTTTTAGTAATTGTTATTTGAATACATTCATTTGCTTCAGCACCACCTCTGGTTGCTCTCACGCTATAGTGGAGTCAAAGAGCTGTAATAGTTAGTTCACACTGTCTAAAATGTTTGTTTGTTTATTTATTTATTTATTTATTTATTGGTTTTTCAAGACAGGGTTCCTCTGTGTAGCTCTGGCTGTCCTGGAACTCACTCTGTAGACCAGGCTGGCCTCGATCTCAGAAATCCACCTGCCTCTGCCTCCCAAGTGCTGGGATTAAAGGCGTGCGCCACCACCGCCTGGCTAAAATATTTATATTTGACTCTTTATAGAAAAACTTGCCTGCCTAGACTATACTTTGTGTGACAAAGGTCAAGAGTTGGAAGACAGCCAGGGAGGTAAAATGTAGATAAATATCCTGATTAGCTGAAGGTCTTTGAGGGCTGAGAGAGGGTCTGCCTGGCTCACCTCAGACCCTGGCTCGCCTAGCTTTCCCATCTGCTGGGAGCTAGGCACTTGAACTTCAGTCTTCCAAATCAAGTGGGTATGTTAGTTGCTGAGTGACTAGTCATTGTTGATTCATCTTAGAAGTTCTTGGCCCAAGGAGTTCTACTTTGCACCTATTTAAACATGCAGAAATGTGTCTTCACAAACAGGGGAATATAGATTATAACTAGATAGCACTGGGAAGTTGGAAAGAAAATGCCTTGTCAGCATTGAGTTAATGTTGACTCTTGCTTGTATTCGCTCCTGCCTAATGGTCCACTTGAATGCACACCTGCTAGGCTCTAATTTACAGCAGTGGACACCAAAGCCAACACCTGCCATGTCTTCTGCTTACTCCACCACTGGCAAGAAGCCACCCCTCCACCACCCTCTATAGTGTCTGAAAGGCATACCCGTGCATGTCTGCGAGGGAAATCACCGCAGAACAAACGGGTAAAGTAGGAGAGAAGAAGCCGTAGAAGGTAGGGATCCTTTCAGAGCTGTCATTTTGATGGTCCTTTCGGTAAAAGAATGAACATGATCCAGCCCTTGTGGAGTAGTAACTATATGGAAAAACTAAGCTAAAATGACTTAAAGAACCCTTCCAGGGTGTTAAAAGCTATGAATTTCAGGAAATTGCTGCGAGTATTTTAGCTTTCCTAGGCTATTTCCTGCTGTAGTGTAGTGATGTCAAATGAAGCCCAGCAATATGTTAACATTAACAAGTTCACTTCAGTTGCCATAAAACAAGATTTACTACTCCTGGAACCCACTAGGCTATCTTCAGCGGAAGGAGAAACTGTTTTCTAGTAAGAGTCCGTGCATCCCAGTAGCATTCCAAACTTTAGGATATGTATTTTTATGAAACGCGGCTGCTGTTCTGTTTTTCCCCCATCTGGGGATTGTGTAACAGTAAGAACTGCCAAGGATGGGAGACTAAGCATGTGTAATAGAACAACACACTCAGCTTAGAAAGCCGAAGGTGTTTGTGGGTAATGAACACAGGTCAGGATAGGTGAACAGAATCGAATTCTGCAGTTGCTGGTTGCTGTCATTCTTTCCAGCAAGTCTGTATCTCAAGTCACACTCCACCAGAATCACCTGCTGGTAAAGCAGCCCTCCCTGGGGATCCTAAAATTGTGTTAGATCTAAATAGTCCTTTCACTTCATACTTAGTTGAGGGCAAGCCTGGAACTCCAAATTAAAAATAGGGTATTTCCCCCTAAGTCTAGTAGGTTTCATTTTCTCCCTCTCTACCCCTTCTCCTTCCTCCTGCCTCCTTTCTTCTCTCTCTCTCCCTCTCTCTTTCTCTGTAATGTTAGCTCTTCAGCAAAGGACTAATAACTATGCTCTCAAGAAGTGGCCCCCATACCATGCTGTACATTTCAATAAACTTGTTTAAATGTCTTACCACAGTGCCTGCTGCAAAGCAACAGACACAGAAGAACAGACAAAGGAGAAAGCTTGTTTTGGGGTGGGGGTGCCAACAAAGCAAGTAGAAAAGAAGCTAGTAACAGCCGCAGGGGTTTTGTTGTCTGAAATAAGGCTGGAATTGGAAGCTGGGAGGATTTAGTCTGCAGCACGTCCTGGAAGCTTTCTGCAGGCAGTGTTTTGGACAGGAGAAATCATTAAAGGGCCTCACACATCTATTTGCATGAATTAGCAAACCCGGGAGAGCTTTTGAAATGCATTTGCAGCTCTGACCCGACATGAAGGTCACATAGATGTCCCCAGAAGTGTATGCCTACTGAGAAGTTACATTAACAAACCTTGCCAGCCAGTGTTGAAAGATCCTCGCCTCCAATGATCTGCATCTCACCCATGGACCGATCATTCTACAGAAACGGGGGAGGGGAAAGAAAAGGAAGACAATGATTGTAGCGCACAAGAGAACCTTAAAAGCACATTTTCCCATCTCTTTGGTTAATAGCTAGATTGTGCCTTGCAAATACAGCACACATAGCTAGCAAGGGCTCATGGTTGCCTATGGTTACCAAGAGCCACTTTCCTGCAGGCTCTTGAGACAAAGCCAGCTAATGACTGGCTGGCGGGGAAAGTCTGAGGAGGGGGGGGGATGGACCGCTGGAGAGACGATAGACAAACTTAATATACCATAGATGATACCTATCTTGAAGCAGACAAATAGGAAAAGACACACACTTGAACTTTACTGAGGTGAGGAAACCGGGGGGCAGGGGGATGGGCTGAGTGACATCCAATAAGCTCGCTCTTGCCGTAGAGAACAATCAAATTCTGATCCGCCTAGAAATGGAGCCCTCGTCTATTTTTTGTCATTGTAAACTCAGCCCCTCATCTGATGACAAGAATAATCCCAACAGACCATAGTGCAAGAGAGATTTGGTCTTCTGAAATGACCGAGCAAGCCTTCTGTTGCTCCAAGAATATAAGAACTGGGGAGATTAATTTTTTTAATCCAAATCTTCTAAAAATGAGCTGATCATTCATGTTTTCAATGTTTAGATATCAAACATTACTGAGTCCTAAAAAAAAAAAAGCCTCAAAAAGCAAAAAAAAAAAACAAGCAAGCATACAAACAGGCAAATACTCGTTTTTAAAGTGCACCTTACAAGAATCACTTAGGGACAAAATGGAAATCAAACTTGGCCCCTCTCTAATGACAGGCACACACTAGAGGAACTCAAGCAGACAGACTCAGCCAGTCTGCTCCTGACCAAAGTCAGAATGTGGTGATGTGGCAATGCCTTGATCCAACTGATAAACCCGAGAAGCCAGTCGTGGTCTAGTGTGCTGTGCTCAAACAGGAGGTCCTGAAGCTGAAGCAGGAGCTGTCCTCAGTTACTGATGCAGACAGCTATTCTTAAGCCAGTCTAGCAGTCCCTTGTCTTGACAAAGTTTTCTCTCATTCCGTTAACATTCATCCCAAAGGGTCAGGCAGACCCAGGGTTTAGCAGTATAGAGAAAACAGCTGGAGGCTACTTCAAGTCCCTCAAGCTAGCTCCTAGAGGAATTTCCTTGAAAATAGATAAATAAATAAATAAATAAATAAATAAATAGGTCCCTTGTACTTGCTGAAGCATTTCTCCTTAGAGCATCACTGGAGGGGAAGGGTGAAGGTGAACCCTTAAATTAGATAGTCTGATCTTTGAAAGAGAAGAACACTGGGTATCCAGAATTCTAGGCTGTTTTTGTACTGGTGAAGACAATCACATTCACAAGCTGATCTGGTAGTGGCTGTGAAAAAAAAAAAACTTTGAAAAAAAATGTCAGCCGGGCGGTGGTGGCGCACGCCTTTAATCCCAGCACTTGGGAGGCAGAGGCAGGTGAATTTCTGAGTTCGAGGCCAGCCTGGACTACAGAGTGAGTTCCAGGACAGCCAGAACTACACAGAGAAACCCTGTCTTGAAAAACCAAAAAAGAAAAAAGAAAAAAAAATAAAGAAAAAATATGTCAAAGGAGGGCTGAAGAGTCATCTCCGTGGCTAATCGCTTTTGCTACCCTCCTAGAAGACCCATGTTAGCAGTTCTAAGGGATCCAACACCCTCTGTGGCCTCTAGGGAGTAACTGCACTCATATGGTATACACAAACACATACATACATTTTTAAGAAATTCCAATTTTTAAGAAATGCTTTCTTAATTTAATTTAAAAATTTCCAATTTTTAAGAAATGCTTTCTTATCACCCCCAGGGGTACTGAGATAGCACTGTTCAGCATCGGAATATCTGTGTGTTAGAGTCTGCTAAGTTGTAACCAGCTTCAGGAGAAACACAACTTCAGGTCAGGGATATACATAGCTGGATGCAATTGCTAAACTACAAAGCTCAGAGTACATTGTGAAACAATTCTGTTATTATACCCACTCTATTGAATGTTTATCTCTACCCTATTGGTTTTGTATTTGTTTTGTCAGAAACAACAACAACAATAACAAGCACAGACCATCAGAAAACTAAATACTGTACTCAAAGTCACACAGCCTGCTGCCAAGACAGTCTCATTTACAAATGAGTCCAAGTTTCTAAATATGTTTTTAATATTAGATCTGTTCTTAACCTATCTGGAAGATATATCTTCCAAGTGTGTATATAGTCAATTATCCTAACACCCTTTACTGAATTGTTTATTTCCCCCCCCCCCATAGAGGGGGGAAATTGGCTAGAAATGCCAATTTTTAAAAGTCATAAATTTTATCCTCATGTATAAGGGTCAGTTTCTACATTTGTCCAATCTAACACGCCCATTCTAGTATTAATTTACCCGATAGGCTCAACTCACTAGTTTGACTTTCTAATTAGTTATTCATAGGAAATAGTGAATTAACTTTTCCTAATATTAAAACTCTATTCTTAAAATTTTCACAGTTCTGGAATGTCTTAATATCTAGTTGTAAATGATATTTTTATATTCTCTGGCTTGCCCATATAAAAGACACCCAATCTTGATATTATTTTTATAAACTGTAAGCCAGATTGGGTTGGTTTTGAGCTATTTTATCTTATGTTCCAGCCATATGTCCCTTGTTACTTGCTGTTTCTCCTGACCACGTGCTCATGGTTCATCTCCTCTCATGGCCACTTCCTCCTCTCCTTGTCTTTCTCTCTTGGTCTCTCCTGAGACCTCTCACTGGATCCTTAAGTCCCACCTTTCTCTCTTCCTACTGCCCAAGCCCAATCACAGGCTTTAGCCGTTTGTTGATCAGTTAATGTTAGGAGCAAGGTTTGCACATTAAAAGCTGGTGTACATGACGATTTGCTCTTTTTGGGGCAACCAGATCTTGGGGTACAAAATTTAGCATTTCAATACACTGTAGCACAAGATCACAAGATCAACCCCAACATCCAGTAGGGTTTTGATTTTTTTATTTCTGTTTTATGTTTTGGCTATTTTCGTTCTTGCTCTGTCTCCTTCCTGTGGGTTGTTCTGAAGATCAAGTGGATTGACTGACATGGAACCCTGGGAACAGAGAATGGCATGTGGCCAGCCTTTGGCCCATCAGACACTTACTTAACAGCAAGTGTTTGGATGACAAGTACTCCAGCACTGCCACCATGTTAACAGTGTGGTCTCCATCTTGGAGGCACTGGGAGGTAGTAGACTCTTTAAGGGCTTAGCAGAAATAGAACCTGTCACTGGGGGCTTGTTCTTGAAAGTGAAGCTGGCACCATGACCCTTTCTCCTACTCCATCTCTCATTTCCTGGTCACAGGGTCAGTGGCATGGCTCCTATGCTCCCTCCGTCATGTGCTGCTGCCTCATCACAGGCCCAAAAGCAATGCAGCCAATCAATCACGGGCTGAAACCTCCAGAACCAAGAGACAGCACACACTTGTCTTGTTTATAAGTTGGTTTTCTCAGTTATTTGTTTCAATGGTTGTAAGCTGATGGAATGTAAACTTCATTATCATTTTTTTTCCTTTTTAGTTCATTAGAAAATGGCCTCTCCCTAAGGCACTGAGGGTCAGCAGCTCCCCTGGTTTAGTGACTATAAAAATAAGTGAGTCTTCCTTCCTTCCTTCCTTCCTTCCTTCCTTCCTTCCTTCCTTCCTTCCTCCCTCCTTCCCTCCCTCCCTCCCTTCCTCTTTTTTAAAATTTCTTTTTTATTGGATATTTTATTTATTTACGTTTCAGATGTCATCCCCTTTTCCCATTCCCTCCCCACCCCCATCCCACCCACCCCCTCCTTTTTGCTTTTATACCATTTTAATTACATGCAAGTATTAAGGTCAGTTCTAGGTTGAGGAACTAGCAATACAATAGATGCAAATAGTGAATGAACAAGCAAGACAATAAACACAAATAGTTAAAGAACAAGGAAAGCATTGAACACAATTCCGTGAACACTCCCATGATCACTGTTTCTCAGGGCTTATCAGGATGACCACAATATCTGACTCTACTTCCCTGTCCTAGCCCCAGGTCATTTTCCTGTCTGAAGCCTACTTCCTTGTTCTAGCCTAAAATTTAGATTCCTGCCTGAAATTACTTCTTTGTTCTAGCCTAAGATTTAGATTCCTACCTGAAGTCTTTGTTTTAGCCTAATGTCAGATTCCTGCCTGAAGTCCACTTCCTTGTCCTTGCCCAATGTCATATTCCTGCCGAGCAGCCCATTTCCTTGTCCTTGGCCCATGTCAGATTCTTGCCAAGCAGCCCCAAAGGCTCTCCTGCCTCTCCCCATTTCTTTCTTGTTTTTGTTTTTCTTGTGAGACAGAAAGGGGAATTGAGAGGTCCAAGCTCTCCATCTGTACACTTCTGACCAACCTTGCTGTTTTCATCCTATTGTGCTCTTCCTTCAGCTTTTCAGAAGGCGGTGACTGGCTCCTGAGCTGTTCTGGTACCCCTATGGCTCCCCTCCCCTGCTGCCGACCATCCTCTCCATAGGCATTTGGTTGGTACGTTCTCTGCTGTGTAGTGCCGGTAATCTTCATCAACCTGTCCACCTTCTAAAGCTTAAGTGCTGACCTCCTGCCCATGGAGGACTTCTTTTTCTCCCTCCAGTCCTTGCTCACTTATGTTTTATTTCTTTGGTCTTATTCTCTTAGAGTCAAAAAAAAAAAATCTCCTGGTCAAAGGAATAGAATCTCTGGCCTTGTGTGGAGGCCTAACATTCCAATCAACCGGGTCAGTCACTTGGCTAAGGGACCACACCTAGGAAACAGAGCTCAATGGGCAGAATAATTAGTCCTTTAATGAGATACTGTATTTTTCCTTCCTATTATCCCCACCCCAACAATAGTTCACACAGCTCTATGGCTTGTAAGTCAGTGTCACTTCTTTCCTTCTCTTCCCTGAGCATGCTTTCTTTTAACACTTTGAGTTTCCTGAGCACTTTGGTCTTTCTTTCTCTCTTCTTAAAG